CATATATGTGTCAATCAACTATTTACCCACACTTTGCAGAGGTCAGGCAAAATATTTTTTTGAAAATTAATTACATATTAGGAGCATTATAGCACGAAAAGTATATTAGATATATCAATTACTTTGTGTATTTAAAAGACCTACGATGTTCATTAATAATAATTTGTTAAAATGTATTTGCACACTAAGAATTGTCTATTGCCTAACCTATATTTAGTGACAAAGGTGTCTATGGAGATACTTTCAAAGTAACTCAGTCTGAATAAAACAATTACATAATATATCGTAAATTTTATTTACTTTTTACGCAAAATTAAATACTGTGGTATAGCCAGTCTTAACAATTATTTAGTTTTTATATTAAAATTAATGGATAAATGGTATATTGCATTACCAACATCCAAAAAAAATACACGCAATTTTTCATTAAAACCGAATAAGTAATAAGATAAACGCAATCTATATATATATATATATATATATATATATATATATATATTCTGATATAAATAGGAAATCTCCACGTTTAATTAAGAAAATTTAAAATTAAGAACAAAAAGTAATTTAAGAGGCAAAGCTTAGAGGGAATTAGCAAATTTGTACATAATATATTCTTACAGAAGACTTGGCATGCGCAAGATGCTAATAAAATTGTCATAACGTTCGTAGCTGACATGCTTCTTGTCTAGACTGAACTTCTTCGCATCATTATAAACTTCCCGTAAATTAAACTTTGAATCAACCATCTTCTTCAATAAAAGAATAAGCATTGTAAATATAATATGCTTTTTTTGTTACTGCTTTATACATGAACACGTAAAAAATCACCAGTTTGATACCTGTCAAGGAATTTTGTTGTAACTAGTGTGAGCCACTTCGTCCTCTACATGAACATTCCGGAAAAGAATTTCATATGTAGCCATCGATTTACGATTTTCCTCATTAATTTGTGACTCTTCGTCGTTACTATCGAATAAAGATATATTGCTCGGTATATACTTTGTTGTGACAGTATATTTTGGATTTGTTTGATCACGGAAAGAGGAACGTCTTTATTAGTCGAATCTTGAACATCAGGTGTTGTTGGTTCGAGGATTTACAGGGGAATACTTCATCTCAAAAGGTTATACCTTTAATTGCTTTTCAGCATTACAACTCACTTGTTACGTTTCAGGCAGTTGCAAAAACCTTTCTTTGTAAATTTACAAAGAAGAGAGCTCTCAACATATTAAGGTGTTGCGTTTATCTGTAAATACTTAATTATTATTACTAATAAATTAATCTGCAATGTTCCAATCAGACGTGGGATAGTTTTTGGCAGATGGTATTGCAATTTTTTTAATGACTTCTTGTACCGTTCTTTTATAGACTTGGTCAAAAGATTATAGTTTGTTTATCTTCTGGTTTCTCGTTATGTTAATTTCTTTTTGTTTACTTCGCGCTATCACAAAGAAGTAACGATAAACTAGCTGTTTTCTGCGACTTCGTCTACGTAAATTTATTACGATTAGATTTCATGGGTGTTAAGGTTTTTATGCGGAACTCTAATCCTTTTTTATAGTATAAGTAGCCTAAGTTATTCCTTATAACATCAGCTATCTGCCAGTTATTGTCCGATCAAATTTAATTTAATCGAAAAAAATCGAATGATCTAAACTTCGTCTCAAAATAAGTTGTTCTAATTAATGATATTTATTCAGTTTATGATAACCCTGATTTATATTTCGTGGCTGAAATTTGGTACTTCTTGTTGGTACTTCAAATCATATAGCAGCCTGACAGCTGATATTATGCCATCCATACACATCGTATATCTAATTACAGCCTTATTAATTTCCACTGAAATGAAATAAAAAGCTTTTACATTGACGGCTCCGTGGCGCAGTGGCTTAGCAATGAGTTACAGCGCTAAGGGCCGCGGGTTCAAATCCCGCATGGCCTACAAGTAATTGTTCCGGTTCTGGATGTTTGTCCTTGTGAAATTAATGTTGGTAAACTGCCCCCGAAATGCAGGAAAAAATCTTAGTGTGGAGGTAATGTTTTTTTAAAATAAAAGAATAGAAAAAAATATTCAAAAGTAACTGCATTAATTCATGTAACTCACAAAGTTTAAAGACGAGATAGTGTAAAATAAGCCTAATTTTATCGGGATCATAACTTATCAAAAAAAAAAAAAATAGAAAAATGAGCGTATTCGGTTTCCTGCGTGTTTTGATATTAAATTTAACACTGATAGATTTATAACTGTATGGTACTCTTATGACGAAGAATTTTTTAGTTGAATATAGCTTGTAGAAAAAACCAATAGAAACTTTATTTATGAAGATAATTGTAGTATAGTTGTAGCACGAATTGGTCGGCTCGACACCACGCTCTCACAGAATACCAGCGTCAAATAGCAGCTTAACGCTGCTGTGTTTCGTATGGTGAGTGTAGAGAACCGGTGACCCTTTTTACTGGAAACGAGGCACTGCATCTTAGTCCTTACGGGTGACAACGCATCTGCATTTTGATTTGCAATCGGGGATAGATGTAGGTGTCTATGGAACGCAATAACCACTTACCATCGGATGGACTGTGTGCTTGTTTGTCACCCTATCCTATAAAAAAGTAGGGTTAAAAGGCTGCTATTAGGGGTAGGTCTGGTATTAAGGACCCCCAGATCATCGTCGGATCGCTACCTACAACCACTCAAAGACATTGTTGTCTAGTTACTATGATAGATTGACTCACAAGATGGCTCGAAGCAATACCTGAGATATGATATATCAGTAAAAACTGTCGCTGAAACGATATATATACACGTTGCATAAATCGGTTTGGATGTTCCGCTACATTAACAAGCGACGGAGACAGATAGTTTATAAAGCTAAATATTTAACTACCTAATAAAGCTACTCGGAATAAATAAAACAAGAAATACACTGTATCACCCATAAAACAACGCAATGATAGAAAGATGGAATGGTACATCAAAAACGGAAACTAAAAAAGCGAAACTTACTCATTCCAGACCGTGGATCGACGAACAACCTATGGAACTATTAGAATTGTGGGCCGCCCTACGCACGGAAACTGGCGTGAATTCTGCCGAACTTGCCTTCGGCTACAACCTTTGACTACCGAGTGATTTTCTACATACAAGTATATCTACAACTACTACTATGGACACAACTTACATCGAAAAACTACGAAATACCATTTGAGAGAATAAGCCAGACCCATTTACTGCACATCAAGACAATTAATACGTTTTCGTGTATATAGACTGGCAAACATGCAGTCACGTGTTAATATGAGTCTACGCAGTAAGAAAACTACTTCAAACACCGTCCCTCAAAGGAATATCGTGTTGTTGAACGAAAAGATAAAGTATTTAGAATACAATTACCTTATCGTCAAAGAAACATATCAATCGACCACCTGAAACCTGCATATGTATTAGAAGATTTTGAATAACAACCTTACTGTACCTTATAAGATAACCAACGTTATCGAACTATATCATAAGAACCAAATTACAAGATTAGCACAACCATCGAACATCTTGATACCACCACCCATTTTCAAGCAAACATGAACAGGACGTGTTGTCAAGTTTGTTCATTCGGCTCATTTTGAATTTTCCTAAGCATAATTCATAATGTATTGTTGTGATTTTTTGAGTTTTGTTATGCAACTTGCGCTGCCCTCTGTTGACTCGACTAGGAGCCAATCGATTTCATGCCGGCACACCGCTTTCATTCGATTATATTGTGTCGGTACGTTTTACTTGTGGACGATTACTGTAGCTACACTAGACGTCTTGTGAAAAAGTGAAATCTCTGAAAAGAGCTATTGTATTGTCCGCATGAAGCATGATGTGGTACTGAGAGAAGCTGCTTTACGATTCTAGTACTACGCGCAGCAGGACTACAGATCCGTCCGACGCGAGCGCTGAGATGCAAATAGTGCGATTCGCGTTCATACGCGATCACCGTTTCTTAAAAATCGAGAGTACAAATTTTCGCACTACTGTCTATCATATTAACGACCAATCGCATGTTAGATAATACTAAGATTTTTATTCGATATTGTAGTATATATAATCTTGATTGTAAGTTTCTGTATAAAAGGAATCACATTTTGGCAATAAATCATTCTGCGTAAACTACTTATTACAAGTTTTTCGTTATAAAACCCCAAATTGTAAAATATACGAAATTCATATGTTTAAAACTAATTTAAAACGAATATAACATTCGAAATTTAAACATTTATGAGCGCCAGGAGTGCAGTAATTTCCGTGTATACTTATATAATATAGAAATACAGCATCTATCGTCACATGAGTTTTTAACTCTATCAATTTTAAACACTAGAGAGGTATCAATAACAAAAATAATGTTTCATATAAGTTTATAGAGTAGAAAAGAAGAAAATTTATATATTATATTGAAAAGAACAATGGTCCGATTATTAATCCTCGGAGTTGAGAGTGCTACAAAAGGCTCAGTCCTATTATTAACTGCTTTTTGCAACAGAGCAGATAAATGAAACTAAAAGATTTAATTGTAACCACTTTTTATATATAAAGAGGCCTTAATATGTTTAACAGTATATCATGACTTAGCAATCGAAGCTAAATAAAACCTAAGATAGGTCCAAAGAGACTACCTACAGCATCATGTTTACTCTGCCAAGTTTAAGTAACAATCCATAGAAATTAAATAGTTATATCATCATCTGCCAGAGACCATTAAATACGAGTATTTATGGCATTCACTATAGTAGAATTCTGCAACGATAACGAGATACGAGATGGCGTAAACATATTTTGGTATCATTTTGATATTTCGTATAACTTCGAATAGGGGTTTGTTAAGTATCTTATTTTATATAAAAAACATAACCAAATATTCCATGATATCTTTTTAATTTTGAACTTATTTTTAAGTTAGATACAATATTTATAAAATAATTAGTAATTATTTATAAAGTAGATACAATAATTTACTTACTTTGCAAGTCACTAAACTTGGTTGTAGGTAGTAAATCACCAGATTCTCTTCTCCAAACTACGTTCGGTGTGGGAACACCATGAGCAGCACATCGCAAGGTTATGTTTGCTCCTTCTCTTGCCACCTGATCACTACTCGTTGGGTAATCGAGAATATCTGGAGGAACTAAACAGATTTAAAAAAAAATGTTAATGGTGGGTGGTTTATGATCATTCGAATCAGGGCGATCTCTGTATCTATCAATTTAATATCTATGTGCCTTCTACCATATTTATCATTCCAAAAGATATTTTTTAAGTTTTAAAAATCTCGTGTAAAATAAGAATTTAGTCTAAAATCGAACACTACAGCTTAATATTGAGGTCAGACAATATTTTTTTTAATTAGAAGTATTATTTATGTACTGATTAAAAATTAAAAATAAATTGTTATTATTTTCTCATACTCCAATTTTAATTAATATTTCAAGAGACAAAGGCGCATACGTTTTGCTTACAAATTATTTTGAATATTACTTTTATACATAAATAAATTACTTTATTTATTTTAATGTAACAAGATAAATCAGACGTTATTGAATGTGTTTTTATTTACTGAGAGACTGCGAGGGTGTTCTGAAAAGTTTCCCACCTAACAAGACATTTTTTCTTAAATTTCATTTTTATTTTTCTACACAGTCTCTTTGTAACTCTACATACTTCTCCCAGCGATCTTTCTAACACGTTCAAATAGTACTCGGTGTTTTTCTCAGCAAAATAATTTTTCGCGAAGGAGATTGCCTCCTCATTTGACGAAAATCTCTGTCCTCCGGCCGCAATTTTTAGACAAGAGAACAAAGAGAAGTCGCTTGGGGCTAGATCTGGTGAGTAAGGCTGATGGTCAAGCAGTTCAAACTGTAATTTGTGGATTTTCGCCATGACAACACCCGAGATGTAAGACGGCGTCTTGTCATGGTGAAACAGGATTTTCTTTTTCTGAAAATGTGGTTGTTTTTCCGTAATGTCTGCTTTCATTTTGTCAAGTAATGATGCGTCGTATGTTTTTGTAATGGTGTTTCCTTTTCAATTAAGATAACTCCATGACTATCCCAAAAAAAAAAAAACAACCGCCATCACTTTCTTAGCCTATAAACAGTTTTTGTTTCTGTTGGAGAGATTGAATTTCGAAAATAATAAATTTAATGACAGCTCGTTACTCAATTTTTTCAATTTTCACAAAAACACTCACATCAACTCACTCAAGCAACTGTCAAATAACAACTACGCGTCCAAAATGGCTGAAAATTTAGTGCATTTCTGTCAAAAGATGCACGACTACATTCACTAGCTTTTATTGGCGAGAGCTGCCATCTTCACGTTGAGGTCGGAAACTTTTCAGGACACCCTAGTATATCCTCGCAGAGGTCTCATATTAATCTTAATTGAACTTGAAGGCAGATTGCAATATTAAGATAACATGATACTTTCTGTTATAACTGTCATTTCGAGCGAGTAAATTTGTAAAATAAATTACTAAGGCCTTTATTACAAGCGATTGGTGGTGCGTATTTCCCATATAAATCGAGCGGGCGCCACTCATGCAACTCTAACAAAACATAGTGTAGATTTCATTACACCTAATGCTCTTTTAAGACCTGACCTTAAAGGTACCCACTACAACGTGTGATACCATAATCGTAATCATTTTGCTGCTTGCATAAAAATCTTTGTAAAAATTAATAATATGCATGCACGCCCACTAATTCGTTTGTCAACAAACTGTTCGCTGCAGTACAGGGTTTCTTTACGGAAAATTTCACAAATAACAGGGAAGAAACAATAAAAATTTAAAATATCTATGATGCAATGATTCGAACATCGAACAAAGCATGAGCGCGAGAAAGAATGTGAGATATTATATTTATATTAAAACAGTGTGTACATACTTACATTTACTAGAAAGTACAGTTATTAGTAATACGTTATGTCTATAAATCTAAATAAAACCAATACTAATTTTTTTAAGGTAATGAATAAATTGAAACAAAAAAGAAATATAAAAAAAATATTTTTAACACGCAATAATTAAGTAGTATTTGTTTATTTACAAATAAATTGAGATGAAAAATAAAGTAAGATGTTTTAGAAAATGAAGTTTTACGTCTCAGTGGTGTTTTATAATAAATAAAATATAAAGCATGAATAAAATTTAACATTATAAATCGAATCTCTTCTTAGATTATTATATTATGGTTATTCATTTAGTTGTATAAAACGTTTGTGAAAAAATATGAACGCTCTATATTTATGAAAATTAATTTCTTAGAACCTTATTTAAGTCTATCAGAAATAGCTTATTTAAATTTTACTTCCATTTTAATAAATTTATCAGCGAAATAAAATATAGTTTGACTTATGAATAAAACAGATTCTAGAATAGATCAGATCTAGAATATTTTGTTGGAAATAACAATTGTAATGAATCATTTATTTTTAGTTTATGTGTAGTTGAGTTCTTTATCTTATTGATTGTAATTATTAAATGTAATATTTTTGATTTCACTGATTTCTATGTAACGGTTTAAATAACATTTTACTTATTAGATTTGATTGACGAGGAACATAAAAAACTACCGTAGATAACAAAGAAAGAGTTGAAAAAGTTTACATACCAACGACATCTAAATAAGCTGTCTGACTCTTCATTGGATCCGTATTAAGTTGACACATGTACCAGCCACGGTCTGATTGTCGCACATCGTGTATATGCAGAAACCAAACTCGGCGATCGCTATGGTTCACAGCGATCCGGTGATTTTTTGTAATAACATGTGTTGCAATTGTCAGGATCGTCTGTGTATCCACACGGAGCCATGCCACCTTTACACATTATAAAAAAATATTCTAAAAATTTTATTTCACAAAACTGAGTGCATGTGTTATAAAAGTATCGTATATCTTTTCTTTTTTTATAGGATAGGGTGACAAACGAGCACACAGTCCACCTGATGGTTGCTGTGGCTCATAGACATCTACATCCATCCTCGATTACGAATCAAAATGCAGATGCATTGTCACCCGTGAGGACTTAGGTGAAATACCTTCGTTTCCAGTAAAAAGGGTCTCCGGTTCTCTACATTCACCATACAAAACACAGCAGCATTAAGCTACTATTTGACGCTGGCATTCTGTGACAGCGTGGTCCCTCCCCGAGCCAACCCATTCGATACTACTAAATACGTGCAGCATGGCTCTACCACACAAAAAATTATCAGCTTTTATCTAAGATACTAATTTAAAATTAAAAAGTTACGGCCTACATATGTCCCACTGCTGGGCACAGGCCTCCTCTAATTTTTGAGCGTGATTTTAGGGGAAGGAAATGTCCGCCGCGCTACCCCGTGCCCAATGCGTGCTGGCGAACTTCACATGTTTTCTAAATATTTTTTTTCTTATTTCTTAATTCAAATAGTACTCGGTGTTTTTCTCTGCAGAATAATTGTTCACAAAGGAGATTGCCTCCTCATTTGACGAAAATCTGTGTCCTCCGGCCGCAATTTTTAGACGAGGGAACAAAAAGAAGTCGCTTGGGTCTAGATCTGGTGAGTCAGTAAGTCATCGATTTTCAACACCTTGCAACACTTGGCAAAACCTGAGATATGAGACAGTGTGTTGTCTTGGTGAAACAGGATTTTCAGTTTTCTGCAAATGTGGCCATTTTTCCGCAACTTCTGCCTTCAGTTTGTCAAGTAATGATGATGTAATGTAATGATAATAATGTAATGATCAAGTATGCTCCTGTAACGGTTTTTCCTTTTTGAAGATAATCGATTAAGATAATTCCATGACTATCCCAAAAAAAAGCCGCCATCACTTTCCCAGCCCATAAACAGTTTTTGCTTTTTTTAGAGCCGGTTCTCCTCCTCAGCTCCTTTCAGATCTATAGACATTGAGAGTGCAAGACACGTGGCGTAGCAGACAAAATAGTATTTTTTTATACACTTTATATAGATATATTCATATATAGCGCAAGCAAGCGGAGCGTGTCCGCGCAGACACGGGCCGGCACCGGCCAACATTCTCAACAAGAATGTTTTGTCTGTGCTGGTGAGTGTCTGCGCGTGTCAGTCGCCCGGCTAGTATAAATATGATCGACGCGCCGACACAAGGCTAGTTCTTCTATCGAAAAATTGCGGAACATGGTAAGTACGTGCACTTTATGGTTTGCCTGATGGCGTCCGTCATACCGGGTGCGCGAGATATGAAAACTGTGAGATATGAAATATGCTAAATTCTAACTGAGGCAACAAACCGTTTAAGTTTTATCAACATCAAAATCGGTAATTTTCGACGTGGATATTTTTTAAAATAAAATATTATGATTTTAAGGTTAATGTAAAAAATAAAAACTCAACTAAAATTAAAAAAAAACAACCAAGAAAGTAATTCTGACTTTTGACTGTAACGTAAGCACAATTGCAAAACACTCTTTGATTATATAGTATCACTTCAGAAACCCTTTTTTAAAGTAATAATTTGGCATGCTCAGCAGAGCGGGACAGTATTTTATGTCGACACACCGCCTGTAAATTTACAAGGCGCAGGTTCAGCCTTACATGGAATACGGTTTCCATCTCTGGGCTGGTGTTCCCAGCGCCAGCTCTTTCCACTTGACCGCATTCAGCGCAGAGAGGCACGAATCGTCGACGACCGAGTGCTTTCCGGTCGGCTCGATATACTAGCGCTGCAAAGAGATGTTGCATCTCTTTGCATTTTCTTTCACATCTACCACGGGGAGTGCTCTGGGGAATTTGTCAGGATTAATCCCAGCCACCAAATTTCATGAACGCACTACGACGCAAACCTCTCGATACCATCCACACCATCTGGATGCTCGGTGGTCCACCGCTGTACGCGCGTATGGCCTCTCTACTCCAGTTTACCACCGGCGATTTTTCCGCACCGATACGACCTAGGGACCTTAAAGAAAAGAGCTTACTACTTTTTAAAAAAAAACGTAAGCTCGTTTCTTGTAGGTCTCTAAGTCGTATCAGTTCGGCAAAATAGCCGATGGCAAACGATTCCACAAAGAAGTCATGCGAGGAAGAAATCTTTCTGCTGTCATTATTACGAACAATTCTTTAAAGCACTTCTCGTGGTAAATGAGATAGATTTGTGAAGGAACAGCAAATGCGTCTTGGCCGGTGACAAAAGGTCTGGTTCTTTTATCGCTCAAAGACTAAATATAACCCGTCAGCGAGTGAACGCACAGTTATACTGCAGATGATTTTTATGATTATGATAAATATTGTGTATTTTTATGTTATGTAAATAAAAAGTATGTATGTGTAAATAAAGTCTGTGAAACTAGTTATCTACATATAAAAAATAAGGTTTGTGTTTCATGTTTGCCGAACAGTGTTGAGTTAAAATAATAAACGTTTATTATTCTTATGGGAACATTTTATTCATTATTCTATTATTTTCTCGTCCAGTTGGAATGCATAAATACTTAACATTATTATTGATAAATGTAGATTTTGCGTAAATATAAGAAGTAGATACTTGGGTGCGTTTGGCAGAAAAAAGCGCTAGCAAGCGCTTAGACGTAAAATGGCGATCGTAAGCGGTAAGCGCTGGCAAATCGTAAGTAGCTATTTTCCTCTAGGACACGAAGTTAGTTTTAACCGGGGAACCTAACCTAATTTAAATTTATATTTGTAAAGTATTCATATTAAAAACTTACCAATCATGAATTTTTAATAACATGTATATGTTTATTCATGTCATTATATTACTTAAAACTAATATTGCACAAAGCAACTTATAAACTCTACTTCAAAACAAACAAATTAAAAAAGCAAAATGGCGGATTGTGTCAGTGCTACTGAAGTAGCAATCGTGTCCTGGCCGAAAACTATTTTAGCACTTGTAAGCGCTTGCTGGCGCTTTTTTTCGCCAAACGCACCCCTTAAATATATCAGACTCATAATCAGACTACATTTTGTATATGCAGAGCCTTATAAGAAAATTATGACCAGTCGTTGTAGATAATTAATATATTATTAATTATTATATGTATTTGCGATTATTATTTATTGTATTTCATTTTAAAGAAGAATTTGCCACAATTGCCATAATTGCCGGGTGGATTAGCAATCCCAACATCATTAGTATCGTACCTTTAAACACTGCCACCCGTCGCTTGTCTGGGTTTTAATATCTGTCGTTCTGGCCTTTCCCATAGTCACATATTACGACACCTACAGAATTAAATGTGATGATGGATTACGCTGCCACCACTCGACTAAAATATAAGTGAAAGGTATTTTGAATACGAACCCTGTATGAGCCAAGCTCATTAACGACGCAAGTAAATATCGCTTCCCTTCCCACTGAAACGGTTAAGTTGCTCAGACTGTCTTCAAAACGGGGAACCTCTGAAATAAACATTTGAAGATAAATACAAGTGGTTATTTTAGAACAGCTAATAAAAACATTTTACAAATTCACTGAAATAGTTTAAAGAGATATTATGGTATGTACACAATATTTTTATTTTTGTTGATTAAAGACATAATAAATTATTTAAAAATATTTCTCTTCCATTTCATTAACTTAAAATTTCCCCTGCTGTACACTGGCCATAATTTTAGTTTGTTTTCTGTCGGTGGACTTAAAAAACCCAGTGTATTTTACATTTAAAATATATATATATATATATATATACTTTGTACACACACATATTACAATACATGATACAATGAGTGGCAGCCTAGTACCGGTGAGCGTAGAGTAGGACCCCCCACTAGACGAGTGACAATCTGGTATGAGATGCAAAAAGCCAATGGATGCAGTTACCTCAGAACCATGCTTAGTGGCATTTGTTGGTTCCTATGTTCTGCTGTGCACTTGTGATGGTCTGTAATGGTGATGATGATAATGATATTTTACATGAGATGTTACATCATTAATTGAAGATCTAAGAATTTGAACAATTATACCTAACACCAATACACTTTCGTCTTTTCTCAATTTTTGTTGGCGCATAAATATTCGAATTTTAAACATAAACTTCTTATTAATTTATTTATTTAGTTATACATATATTTAGGAACACAAAATAGAATAACATCAAAATACGAACATCATGAACATAATAATTGCAAAGTTTCAATCTGAATGGTATTCCAAAACTATGCACACAACATGATATTAGGTAACAGTAACGAGTTTTCAGCACAAATATTTATAACCTACATAGTGAATTAAGTTGCGGAAAATATAGGAAAATTACATCTTTATAAAAAGAAAATATATTTGCATTTCAATTTTAAGCCTTGAATGTCTAATTTAAAAAGTATATATCTAAAAAGGTTTATCAAATATGTCGATATTTTTACTATTATTAATCAATAAGTTATTAATAGAGGCGACATCTTACTAAAGGACGTATTATTTCTATAAACTTGCAAAGAAAAGTATTAAAGAAAGTACACCGATGTTGGGGCTTAGAATTAAAGGAGGCTGGGGAATTAATCAATAAGGGAATGAAAAATTTTAATAATTTTGAAAAGGTGATATTTATGCCGAATTTGTAGTGATAATGTTAAAGTTTAAGTTTTTCGCACTAGCGCAGGATTGATAGAAATTCCTTTTGAATAGGTTCAGTACGATTTATGTGGACAGCATAGAATGGAAACCAAATAATTGTGTTATACTCTAAAATAATAGGAAATAGTACAAAATGCTAAAACTTCGTGGACTTTTAATAGTTTTGCAGTTCTAAATATAAATCCAAGAAGTTTTGTACTTTTAGATATCAGATGATCGTAGTAATCGTGGAACGTACGATTATCGTAAAACAAGATCCTTAACTACGGACTTTCTATCAAGTGCCTGTCCATTTATTTTATAATCAAAAGTAAGTCTGTGTTTTTTGTTTTTATTTCTTGTATTCAGGTGCATATAGTTTTCTCTACACTAGTTATGAATGGAGTTTCAATTGTATCTAACAAGACAGAAAACAGCTTCAAATCATCTGCATAAAATAGGCATGGATATGTTAATTTATCAATAAAATCGTTAAATAATGTGATAAAAAGTAAAGTATCTAAATGGTATCCTTGTGGCACACCAAATGTCATCACTGGGTGGAGATTTGAATCAAAAACGAATATGTGGTAACAGCTAGTTCCAGACATCTTACAACTTTGACGCTGTTGATGGTCTGGAAATTTCAAATCTGGCATTATTCTGGCATCTATTGAATGCCCCAAGATTTTTTGGGTATTTTCGTTTGTCGTTTTTAACCGTTTTGTGAACGACAAAATGGTGGAGCGATAGGGTTGCTAATTTTAAATCCGGGGCGAATGACTACAAAATGGTGACGCTAATGGTTCCTGGGTTCGAATCTGGAAATAAATGGTCACTAAATGGTTAGGGTGACTAGGTTGGCCTTCGTATCCCGAGAGAAGAAACCACAAAATGATTGGCTATAGGGTCCCGTGTTCGATTCCGGGAACCCCGAGATTTGTGTGCGAGTTTAACGATATGATAACGGGTAATGATAATGTTAAGTAATAACTTTATCTCCTTTCAGTTTTTGATCAAAAACCGAACTTTTTGATCAAAAACCTGATTTTGTCATGAATCTGCCATATACACGTGTAACATAAACATAAATACAAAAATATACGCCATAAAATTATATCTAAATGTAATAAATTATAGTAATTAATTTACATCTATAGTAACTCTATTTTAACAAAATAAACAGGGAGCTTAACACTCATTGAATTAATACTTCTAGTGATGTAATTTTCATTGTAACTATACCGTATACGTGACATGGCTGTAATCTTATTACTGTATTCATACGTGGTAGAGCCACGCTACAACTATATTACATTTAAAGAACAAATGGGTAGTCTAAAACCGAGAAAGGACGATGTTCTCACAGAATATCAACGTGAGAAGCTTAATGCTTGTGTATATCGTGGTGTGGATAGGGAACCAGATAACGATCCTTATTATTAAAATGTTAATGTAATAAGTTTTATAACATAAACTCTTAAACCTGTTACCCGGAGGGGTAGTCATATCGGACATTACGGACATCTATTTAGCACGATCCTGACTAACCTCTCTCGCATCTTTCACATCTATATACCTACGCATATATCCTCATCGGTTGGTACTATAAAATATTTAATTTGTGTTATTACTACTAAAAATTAAGAGTTCGTTTCTAATATAATATGTTATATACTCTTAATTTTCAGTAAAATATGATTTTATTTTTTATTTACGCGAATTTAAAAATGAGATAGAAACGTCGAAGTGATAGCTCATCTCCCCTCGTACAATCCTAAACATTTATTCTGCCTAGAGCGATATGTCCTTGTGGGTAGCAATATCCTCGTAAACGTGCTCTAGGGATTCTTCGTGTTTTATTTGGACGGCAGAACTGATAATGAACGTGATTTCCCTCTATTTGCTAAATCAATACCTTATATTATGTATGTATTCATTAAATATTGTATTAAATAGTTTGGTTTTATAACTTATCTTCTAATAAATAAAAGGTAACGTTGTAAAAGTTAAATGTAAACTTTATTTGGGTCATAAGGATGTAAGTTAGGGTACAAAGCGCTCGGTGTTAGGTTCAATTTGATGAGAACAGATTGTGATTTTTTAGATAAAACAAAGCCTTACTCAATTGCCTAAATTGCTTTCTATTTGTTCGTTAAGCTTCATTAAAATCCGTTCAGACAGACAGACAAAAAATTTGAATGGTTATTTATGGCTTAATGGCATGTAGTGAGGCCATAGATTGCCCCTTCGAATTGGACTCGGACACCATAAAATGGTGCGGCCACAGGTTGTGATCAATTCAAAATCAATTTGGTTTCACAAGGGATCGCTCGACAACTGATGCTGGTGTTGAGCAGATTAAATTTATCGTCAATGCTGAATATTGGTACTTCATTAATTTTCAAATTAAAACGACAATACCTAAATTACTATTCCTTAATTCGTAAATTGGCTTACGTTAGTAATTTGCATTTAAATCGTACTGAAACTAAATGTATAAAATTCATAACTCCAAATGTGAAACATCTAAATACCAAGAACTGAGTCTTGTTGTATCAAAACTAGCAAGCACACTTGTTCTGCATGTGCTATAAAATATTAAAATTCTTACCAATTGAAACAGCTAGAATAGTTCAATTTAGCTATTTTCACAGTCTAATGTCACATGGTATTTTGCTATAGGTCCCTGGGCGACTGACACTGAAATTATATTTGTTTTACAGAAGAGAGCCATTAGAGCAATCTATTATTTAAAACTTAAAAAGTCGCTCAGACACAAATTTAAGGAAATTAATATATTAAATTTGGCCCCTTTGTACATTTACAAAAATAAAAGTAGTTTTACAAAAATAAGTGATATTCATTCTGTAAATATTAGGAACAGACACAAGCTTGTAGTACAAGTTACTCGCACGAATCAGTAATTCATTCTTGGGGCAAAATACCCGTTTTTACAACAAAATCCCATAAAATTTTAAAAATTTATTAAACTAAGTTTGTTTAAATATAATAAACCTTTATCATAATATGAAGGAATTTATGGACGATAATAATCTCTGGGAATTAAGTGATCGCTACCCGAACTATTTCTAATTATTTTTGTGTGGTTAATTGTTTATCAAACATTGTAAGCTAATTTTTTTAAATATCTTGCTGGGTTTCTTGCTGGTTGTTCCCGGGACGGAGGTTTTTCCCAAACCATAGGTGATTAAGCAAAACAGTGACTTTCAATCGCTTATTATTTGTAATCTATAGTGAATAAAAATAGTATATTTATTAAATATGTTACGTATACATTCTATATATATATATATATATATATAAGCTACTATCTCCTTTCACGACCCTTTGTCATTTCCTATTAAAAACCATAATTCGCAAAAAACTAAGTAGTTTAGAAAACAACGTGACACGTAATTTACATTATATATATATATCCATGGCTAGATCGCATTAGAGACAATTTTATTAAATGCACTTATTATATATGTATTAAAGTCCGTAAATAGGGTATGTAAATTATATATATATTTCTTAATAATATCAATATGAACAAAATTGGATGTTATAAGATTTATATTAAGTTTTTTATAGTATTGGGTGACAAACGAGCAAACAGTTCACCTGATGGTAGGTGGATGCTGGGGTCCATAGACATTCACATTTATCCTCATTTAAGAATCAAAATGCAAATGCGTTGTCACCTCTGAGGACTAAGATGGAATGCCTCGATTCCAGTAAGAAGGGTCTCCGGTTCTCTACACTCACCATATGAAACACAGCAGCATTATACTGCTATTTTACGCTGGTATTCGTGAGAGGGTGGTCCTAACCCGGTGGAGCC